GAGCAATTTGGAGCTATGCCCAAAGGGCTATAAAAATGTGTATACCCTTTGACCCAGCAATAGCACTTCTAGGGCTGTTTCCCAAAGAGATCATACAAATGGGAAAAGGATCCACATGCACAAAAATATTTATAGCAGCTCTTTTTGTGGTGGCAAAGAATTGGAAATTGAGAGAATGCCCATTAATTGGAGAATGGCTGAACAAGTTGTAGTATATAAATGTAATGGAATACTATTGTGCTATAAGAAACGATGAGCAAGTGGACTTCAGAAAAACCTGGAAAAACTTGTAGGGACTGATGCTGAGTGAAGTGAGCAGAACCAGGAGAACATTGTACACAGTAACAGCCATGTTGTGTGATGACTAATATTGATAGACTTAACCCTTAGCAATACAAGGATCTAACACATCTCCAAAAATCTCATGATGGAAAATGCTATCCACATCCACAGAAAGACCTATGGAGTTTGAATGCAGATTGAAGTATACCATTTGCTATTTGGTTTCTCCTGTTGGTTCTAATTCTTCCTTACAGCATCCCTAAGGTGAAAATATGTTTAATAGGAATGTATATGTATAGCCTATATCAAATTGTATGCCGTCTTGGGGAGGGAGGTGAGGAGGAAGGGGGAGAAAAATTTAAAACTCAAAAGCTTATGGAATTGATTGTTGATAAATCAAAATAAATTAATAAAAAAAAGAATAAAGGCAAAAAAGAAAAGAAAAGAAAATCACTTTAGTGGCTGAATGCAGGGTAGATCAGATTTGGGAGAAACTGAGGGCAGGCAGATCCACCAGTAGGCTGTTTGCAATAATACAGGTGTGAGGTGATGCAGGCCTGTACTAGGGTGCTTGCAGTGTCAAAGGAAAGAAGGGGATATATATGAGAAATGTTGCAAAGGTGAAACCAACATACCTTGGCAACAGATTGGCTATGAGGGTAAGAGATAGTGAGGAATTCAGGATGACTCCTAAATTTTGAGCTTGAGGGACTAGGAGATTGGTGTTGCTTTCTATAGTAATAGAGAAGGTAAGAGTGGGATTGGGGAGTAATTTAGGGTGAAGTATAATGAGTTCTGTTTTAGACATATTGGGCTTAAGATGTCTACTAGATGTTCAGTTTGAGATGCCTGAAAGACAGTTGGAAGTGTGAGATTACATGTCAACAGAGAATCTGGGGCTGCATAGATAGGTTTGAGAATCATAAAAGCATAAGGAAGATAATTAAATCCATGGGAGCCGATGAGATCATCAAGTAAAGTAGTATAGAGAGAAGAAAAGAGGGCACAGGACAGAAGCCTGTGGGATACATATGGTTAGAGAGCATGATCTAGAAGATCTGGCAACGGAGACAGAGTTGTCGGATAAGATAGTAGGAGAGTGGATTAGATAGTAGGGTAGTAGGAGAAAGCAGTGTCCTAACGGGAAGAGAGAGTGATCAACAGTGTCAAAGGCTATAGAAAGTCAAGGAAAATGAGGATAGAGAAAAGGTCATTGAATGTGGCAACTAAGAGATCATTAATAACTTTGCAGGGAGCAATTTCAATGGAATGATAAGGTCAGAAGCCAGATTATAAGAGGTTGAAGAATTTTAGTCCTTGGAATTCCACCCTGCTTTCCCTAAACCCTTTTAAATATGCTTTCCCAGAACTAGGGTTTGTGTTACACATTGTCCAGATAGCCTCTCCTGCAAACTCTAGTATGGAGTATTTACTTCCTTCCAAAGTCTTAATCATTTCTTCTCCAGCACCCAGATCCCTGTTTGAGAATCAGAATAAAATTTCCCCTGAAGTTATCACTAAGACAAGTGAAGAAATCATTAGCTGTGGTGCTTTTGGCAGTGAGATATACAGCAGATGTCTGGATAATTGAAGTCCTCCATTATTACTATCTTATACCTCTGTCCCAGACTTGTAATCTGTTTCACATACTCCTCATCTATTTTCTCTTTCTATCCAAGTGCATTATAATATACTACAGTGATAAAATCATTGTTTCTTCTTCCTTCAACCTTTATCCAAATACTCTCTGTTTTTCTTCCACTCTCTGGTTCCAAGATTACTTTCCTCATAAACAACATTAATTCTCTCCTACCTCTTTTTATACATTGTTTTTTCTTTCTTTCTTTTGAACAAGGTGTACCCATTTAGAACTGTAGTCCAGTCATAGATTTTATCCCATCCAGTTTCAGTGATACTTGTGAAGTCTAGTTTGACTCTTTTCTATTAAAACCTCCATTTAATCTTGTTTGTGCCAACACTTTGGGCATTTGTGAATAGACATTTGATACCATGTATTTTACTATGGGTTCCTTTCTTAGATTTTATCTCCTGCATATTTCTGGGTATTTTAGCTACTATACTTGATCTTTTCTTTGGCTGTTCTCTTACATACCTAACAGAAGGAAAACATAAGTAGTCTTTGGGCATTTTAGTTTTAAACCCTTTGGATTAGATTTGCAAGACACTTGGAAAATATTATAAGTAAGGAGATAGTAAAAGAAAATTTACCTGCCCTTGAGGAACCCAGGTCATCTAGCCCAGCTGAACTGTATCCCTGAGAGAAATATTACACCTTTTTTATGTCAAGTAAATAAGCATTTATTATTTACTTACTATGTGCCAGGCACCAAGCTAGCTTATTTATACTTCAATTTTGACCAAACTCTGTCAAGCCTCTATGATAAGCCATAATATAGAATCCAAATTCCATTTTCAGACACCATCTTTGCCAGCTGTTCACTTCCCAAATTAATTTTATTCTTTGGAATTAATTACCTTCAATGGGCAGCAGTGAGGAAGACCCAATTTCTATCCCAGTGGTCTTCCGTTTCTTGGCTGACTTCATAATCATGGGCAATATGAGTGATTGAAATGAAATGGTGATAAAACCTAAAAATATTTTTAAGCTTTTTCTATCTGTGTCATTTACACAAATAGGAATCTCTAGAAGTGAACAGTTGTAATTCCTTTTGGTAAGTTTTGAGAGGTTTTCTATTGTGTCTTGGATACACAATCCGGGAAGATAACAGACCTCTCAGTTGTTAGGGAGTAGACAAATAGCTTAAACAGGATACCACCAACTATAAAACTCTTCTTTTGTCCCTTGGCGGTAATCTCTCAATCGATACCTTCTGTACCTCTACTACATTGTTCTTCAGAGAAAAAGCAGCTTCCTTTTTAAGAGTGTCCAACTCTACTCTTCAGAAACAGCCGTACATCTATTTTTAAGATCTACTTGTACAGCATTCTTCATTATCTGACAAGGGTCAAGTCTTCCCTCCTCAACCTCAGAATTCTTTCTTTTCCATTAAAGCCTCTTCAGGAATGCTTTAGTCTTCCTAACAACTTAGAATGTGGAAAGCTGTCTGATCCGCTTCCATTTGGAACAAAAATAACAGTCCCTTGGCTATGACATAAAAACAAACATTGAATATTCAATGCAAGTTACTGAACATATATACTTATATATCTCTGTCAAATGGTAGCCTTCTTTAGTGTGGAGTGGGCAGGGAGGGAGACAGGAACTTAAAATATAACAAAAAGTTTAAAAAAATTAAATAAAAAAAGAAATAAAAGCAGATCTAAATTAAAAAAAAAACAAACAAAGAAATGGCAAACCACTCCAGTATCTTTTCCAAGAAAACCTCAAATGAGGTCACAAAGAGTCAAACACAACTGAAAATAACCTAAGAACAACATCAAATTATTATTATATGATATGCATATTAAATTTAATATGATGGTAACAAATTTTCTATTTGTGTCTCCTGCCTTTTTTTAATTTTAATTTTTTTCAGTGGGCTTAGCAAAGAAAGGTACACAGTTTGGGACTGATGTATATTTGAAAATATGATGAACAAATCACATTGGCCATTAGGTTAGCTCCACAGGCTGTCTCTTAATTTTGGTGGTGATGAAAAGGGTTTCAGAACAGAATTTGCACTTTGTGTTTTTAGGATACATGGCAGTTAAAACAGGAAAAATAGGAGGATGGAAAGATTTAAACTTCTGGGAAGCTGAGAATATCTTATAAAATCATAGAATCCCCTGAGAGTAGGATCTCTGAGGTCATCTAGTCTAATCTGTGCCAGAAGAATGAATCATGGCTCCTCTTATCATGTATCATGTCTAAAGTGACAAAAGAAGAAAAATATTTATGAAAACAATGTGAATGTGTTTTATTTAATCCAAATATTAAAAAAAAAATTTCAGTGAAATGAGTTAAACTACCTTGTGGTTTTATGAAACTACTCCCCTGTCCAATGTGCTCACATATACACATAGAATTTGGTTGAATTATCAGTTTTCAATAGCTAGTTTTGGGGAAATCATGTGGAAACTATCAGGCAAGTTAACCACAATAGTAGATGGTGGTGCCTTGGGTAGGGGAGGCCCTACAAATAGGGTCTTTTATGCATTACAGAATAGCAGATTGTGAAATGCTTAAACCTGAAGGACCTTAGAGAAGCAAGAACTTTATTCTATGTCTATTAAACATTCATTAGAAAGGAGAAGATCACTGAGGGGAAATGAATTTTTGTTATTGTTGTTTATGTATATCATACTCTAAGACTCATTGTTAATACTTGGGGAAAGCTTATTCAGAAAGGTTATTCTATCCAGTCCCCCAGTGGCAGCTGTGGGAAATGCAAGGATAACTGTGTGAGGAATTACTAGCCTCACAGAGGAAGACATGCATGTCTCAAATCTGATTTCTTCTGGTGATGGCAGACACAATCCACAGGTACAAAGATATATGAAAATACAAACTGTGCTGTACAAGACGGTACTGATTATGCATGAAAATAGTTGCTATAACAAATCATGCAAGGGCCAAATAGATGAGGAGGGAGAGGAATTAAAATTTTAATTAAAAAATAATATTTTTTAAATGGAATTAAATGCTTTGAAATGTTTTGAACAATAAAAACACATTCATGTCTACATGGAAATGTCAAATAAGTTATTTTAGCTCTTTCTTTTCCCCCAACCCTCAGCTATCCCTCTGGGCATTCTAGTTGTACAAGGAGACTGTGATTTGGAAACTTGCCGTATGTACATTGACCGCCTACAGGAGGTGAGTTGATTTGGACAATTTTTTATTTATAATGAACATTTGATAAGCCTTTGGGGTCTGTAAACAGTTACTGACTATATGAATTCAGCAAAGGAAAGATTAGCAAAGGGACAGCTTGTCTATGTATTGCCTCAAAACGTGTAGCATAATTGTTATCTCTCAGTTTTAGTTCTTTACTGCTAAGATGAAACAGGATTTTAAAGTAGGGGAGAACTGCATATCAATCAATTCATTGAAATTTAAAAAGTGTTCATTAAATACCAAGCTCTATGTTTTGTGTTACCAGGCGATACAAAGTTGAGTAAGACATTCATTGTCCTTGTTCTCAATGAGCTTATAATCTTGCAGATAAGACAGATATGCAGATATCTATAATACATGGTAAAATACAGTAAATGCCATTAAGACAGGTACAAATTAGATTTTAGACTATGAAAAGATTGCAGAATCTCAGACTTCAGAAGGGAAATTCCAAACATACCTGTATAGAAATCTGTTGTACACTACTGCTTCCTGCAGCAGCCTATTCCAGTTTTGGATAGCTCTAATTGACAGGAAGTTTTTTTTTCTTATATCAAGCCTAATTTTTTTTTCTTTTCAGTTTCTACTTATTTATACCTAGTTCTGCCCTTTGGGTCCAAGGAAGACAGGTTTAATCCTTCTTTCACATGACAGCCCTTCAACACACATGTATTTGGGGAAAATGGTGGTACTAATCAGAGATGAGATGGCAGGGGTGATGAATTCAGTTCTGGACATGTTGAAGCCATATTTTTGCTTCTTCTGCCTCAACGCCCACATATAATCAATTACTAAGTCCTGTTGATTCTACCTATGCACTATATCTTAGATCTCCCCTGACCTTTTATAAATCCTAATACCACTACCATAATTTAGGTCCTTTGTATGGCTTGGCTTGATTTAGGCAGCTAGATAATTTGGTATACAGAACAATGGACTTGGAGTCAAGAATACCTGAATTCAAATCCTGCCTTTAGACACTTAATAGCTATGAGACTAAAGCAAATCATTTAATCTCTTTAAGTGTCAATCTCATCTGTAAAATGGGGGTAATAATAGCACCTAGCTCATAGGGTTCTTATGAAAAAATCAAAGCATAGTCAAAATGCTTTACAGACTTTAAAGCACTACATAAATGTTATTCGACTGTTACAACAATCTCCTAACTAGTCTTCCAACCTTGACATCTCACCCTCATCTATCTCATACATTATTGCCGCTTTAATCTTCTCAAATTAGTACACCTTTCATTGTGTTACTTCCATGCCCCAAAACCTTCAATTATTTTCTATTGAGTGCCAAATAAAATGAAAACTCATTATTAGGTTGGCCTTCAGGGCTCCCTACCTACCATGTACTTTAATCAACTTTTCCAGGCTTATCTCCCACTACTAATTCATATATACCCTATATAATAGCCAAAGTAGATCCCTCAAAGTTTGCATACACTTCATATTTCCCTTCCCTTTGTTTATCCTTTTTCTCTTCTTCTTCGAATATACTGCTGACCAGTTTTATGGCCAACTTCAAGGCCATACTTCAACTTCTCAATACTTTAAAAATGCCTTCCCTGACTTTCCCCAAATATGTGTGTGTTGAAGGGCTGTCATGTGAAGGAAAGATTAGATCTGTCTTCCTTGGACCCAAAGGGCAGAACTAGGTATAAATAAGTAGAAATTAAAAAGAAAAAAAATTAGGCTTGGTATAAGGAAAAAAAAAGTTTGAGATGCTAGAGGGCATCTAAATAAAGAAATCTAGGAAGTAGTTTGAAATCCTATTCTGTGGCTAGAGGGATAGGTCAAAACTAGAGCAACAAATTCATGACTCATCTCCATAGGGATGATAGTGAAAGCCAGGAGAGTGGATGCTTTGGCTGAGGGGTGTACAGAAAAAAGCGAAATGAGTTAAGGGCTGATCCTTACATTAAGGGAGTTGGAGGAGAAGGAAAAGTCATTAAATCAGACAAGGAATTGGTCAGAGGAGTAGGAGAAAGGGAAGGATTCTGCAGTGCCATAGTTGTCAAAGGAATAAAAAATTTTAGGACTAGAGAGTAGGATGAGTCAGTGGTTTAAGTTCTGCAGAGTAGTCAAAGTGAGGGAAGACATAGAAAGGACCATTGAATTTCCAAGCTAGTCTAGTGAAAACACATTGGTCGTTTTAAAAAGTTTTATGAGAGAGCCATTTAATTTTTATTCCCCACAAATAGAATAAAGAATTAAGAACAGTTAGTCTTGGTAAGTAGGCAGACATTGCTAGACTCTATTCTACATTGTAGTTAAAGTACTTTCAAACTAAAGCCACTGATTTTTAGAGGTCCATGCCTATAACTGAACAATGGCAGCTTACTTAGGGAGAATTATACACAAGAAAGGATGATTGTCATGAACAATACCTGATGTCAGAATCGAATGAAAAATAATTAGTAAATCCATGGATACTCTTTAAAAAAAACTTATTGGCAAGATTACGTGTTTAAGGATTCTTACCTTTATTAGGACTGTTAGCATGTGGATATATATTAGCATTTCACTGACTCTGAGCAAGTAATAACTTTTCTAGTCCATAGTCTTTAAACATTCAATGGGGGTGATTATATTTAACCATCTTTCCTGGACTGTGAGGAAAACATATTTTTTTCCTTTTTACATTTGTTTACACTTGAAACAGAAAGTATCAGCCCCCCCAAAAAAGAAGGGAGCATTTTTGTAAATATTGAAGTGTGATATAGATGTAAAGAATACTTTTTGTTAAAGGAGCTGAACAATATTGAAGGATTCTAAGATTCCTTCCATCTCTGACCATCTGTGAAACTGTTAACCAACCTAGAAGTCCTTTTTTTTAAAAAAATGCTTTTAAGTCTGAACAGAAGACATAAGCCCTTATTTAAACAAATTTCAGTTCTATTACAGTACAGAAGTCTATATTGAAACACAAATCCATGCATGGATTTTTTTATTTGGGACTGATTTAAAGACACAAAAGACCTTCTAATTAAAGTTGAAGATATTACAAACTTGTAAGGAAGAGCCATTTTTAAGAGTGACAGAATAACAAATTTAAATGATCCTAATACTTAATAATGCTGAATCAAAACCAACAAGATGAACTATAACAGGAGTAAATGTTAAGTCCTAAATTTAGTTGTTTATTTGTTTTTTTAATATTGCAATTAGGTTTAAAAATTGCCTAAGTACAGAATTGAGGAGACCTAACTTGGTAGCAGAAAATGTGAGTGTATTGGCTGGTAACAAGCTCAATATGCATTAATAAAAATATAATGCTCAAGCATTGAAAGTAATATTATACTTTAAGTTGGTCAGACTACATCTGGAACCTTATCTTGATCTCTGATTTGGGAGCATGCAGAGGTAGGAAATCAGCCTGGAGAGGAGTCAGGAGATTCTGTTGTATGACAGATAGTTAAAATAATTGAGGATGATTACACCAGAGATAACAAATCTTGAGGGAGACATGATAATTGTCAAATATTTGAAGCAGATTGATTCTAAGTTGATCCAAAGGGCAAACTGGAATGAATGGGAGGAAGTTAAAGGGAGAGACAGATTCTGGCTCTGTGTAGGGAAACACTGTGGAACAATAAGAGCTGTCCAACAATGGGAACAGCTGCCTCATGAAACAGTGGGCTCTCAGTCATAAAATCTCAGTTCAATCCTGTGATAATCTGTCAAAAGAGATTTTTTCAGTGGGTGGGAGATTGAATGAGCTGACCTTCAAGGTCAACTTCAAAATTCTACGAGTTTTAGTCATCTCTGCTATTAGCTGGAGTTTGAACATCAGATATAACTCAGATGCTTTTCTCCAGGGACAAAAAGTAGGCCATATGCTAGAAAGGAAGACATGAAAATAGGGTTTGAATATGATCTTATTATAAACCTCCTAATAAAAAGAAGAAAACTTCCTTAACCTCTGAGCTGCTTACCAGTGCTCCACAGGCACAGAAATCATCATTATTTGCGGACGTTACTATCTGAACATCTGTTGGACATGCCACTGTAACAAGAGCCCAATTTTCTGGTGTAGAGAGTTTTGGGAAAGTGGGGATGGAGTTAGAGTCCAGAGATGGGGAGCCTGCGGCCTCAAAGTCACATGTGGCCCTCTAGGTCCTCAAGTGAGGCCCTTTGACTGAATCCAAACTTCACAGAACAAATACCCTTAATAAAAGGATTTGTTCTATAAAACTTGGACTCAGTCAAAAAAGGCTGCACCTGAGGACCTAGAGGTCCACATGTGGCCTTGAGGCTGTAGGTTCCGCACCCCAGACTGTTAGATGATAGTCTAAGGTAGGAAGCAACCCTACCTAACAAAATAATGCCAAACAATACAGATAAGAATTCTAAGGGGAGGGGGAAAGAAAAAGAGAATGGTTCCAAATAAAGAATACTGATTTTTGAAGAAAGTAAATTTCATTGGCCACAGGAAACAAACTTAAAAAAAAAAAAGTCCTGTAGGAAGGAGGCATGAGGCTATAAGAGCAAAAATCTGAAGAAATGCTGACATTTGTGAGTAGATACACTATACTAATTATCCTCAGAGTTACAGAATGTGGCAAATATAACTATTTCAGTTATAAAAACTTTTTTAAAAAAAAGTGGGTCAAGTTTTCAGCAGCTCAGTAAATCCTCATTTGCTATCACTCCATGGATTTGGAATTTGTGATCCTTTAGACATTGAATATCAGAAGCTAACTCTTTTGCTGTCTATGAAAAAGCAATTTGCTTCCTAAGCAAATTATTTATTTTCAGGATAAGGATAGGAAAGACATTTTAACCACCTAAAAATTCATTATTTTGAGGTATTTTATTAGTATCATTAACATAGTAGCAATGAATGCGTTAATTACATGATCCTTATCTGTTAATTAAAGCTAGTTGGGGAGGACCCCTAGCCATTAGTTTGAGTTATACATGCATTTGAAACTAATTAAATACAGTCTTTTAAAATATGTTCTTTGATTTGGACTTTTGAGTAGTTCAAGTTGAACTTTCCCCACTGAAATGAAATTAAGTAGTTTTTGCCATACTTGGCAATGATTGTTTTTGTTTTTTGCTTTATTTTGTTTGTTTTTGTTTATTTTAAATTACTATTGTATTTGGTTCAGTTGTTTTTAGGTTGGAGTAGTTAATAACTTCTTATGGTTAACTTTGTTGAACTACTTTTAAAACCGTGAATATTTCTTTCGTTTTTCCCACTAGGATCTGCAGTCAGTTCCTTCTAGTACCCAGAGAGTTCATTACCAGGTAATTTATGATGAATTTTTCTTTCTCACTTTCAAGCCAACAGAAGTTCATTTTTTATTAGTGTGATTTTAAAAAGTCATACCTTGTGCTGGGATAATGATAACTATTCATTTATAGAGCACTCGAAAATTTTAGAAAAGGACTTTCCTTACAAACCTGTGGGGGAGGCCATGTAAGTACACTTACTATTCCCACTTTATAGATTTGAAAACTGAGGCTCAGAGTGTAAAGTGATTTGCTGACGGTCACACAGCTAGAATGTCAGAGATGGACTATATATCTTCTGGCTAAAAAAAATATCACTTTTCTTTCCACTAGATTATCCTTTAAGAAAAACTTCTACTTATTCTTATTCTTTGAAATGTCTTGATTTTATTGGAATAGTCAGTAGTCTAGGAAACCTTAGATAATTGATTTTCTCCCCAGGACATTTAGAGTGTGCACAGTTTCTTCACAGTGCAGAGTTTTATCTCATCATTCTTATGTCAGGCTTTGAGCTCTGTTGATTATAACGTGAAGTTAATCAGACCTGTGACACATGTTTGATCCTTGGTTCCCTAGCTTCCAATTGCTTCCATGATCGCATCCAAACATTCTCCAAATGTATCTCATTAGTCACAAAATAAATCAGTGGATAGAACGTGAGTGACTCAGTATAATGAATCCCCGCACCTGGAGAAATAACTGCATATGAGGCCCTTCTGAGAAGATATCTTTGCATATGAAAAACATGTAGAAGTATAATTATATGCCAAGTTATTTTTATAGGAGAATACAGGTGTGCCTGTTTGAGGAAATCTATATGAACATAACTCGGAGAGTAACTACCAGCATTTTAGAACAATTTTTCACTTTATAATAATAACTCACATTTCTATCATAGCTCAAAAGCCAGAGAGACCTCAAAAGCAATCTAGTTCAATCTTCTCATTTTATAGATAAGGAAACTGGGCTTCAGAAAGGTCAAAGACAGGATTTGAATCCAGGTCCTCTGACACCAGAACCAATGTTCTTTTGACTGTACCTTACTGCAGATTGCTTTCCTAAGAACAACCTTGTGAGATGGGTAATGAAATATTATGACCTCCCTCCTCTGTTACAGATGAAATCATTAAGTTTGAGGTTAAGTGATTTGACCAAGATCAAACAGCTAATAAGAAGCAAAGTTGAAATTAGCATCCATATCTTGCTGATTCCTAGTGGGTAGTTTGCAAATGGATTCATTACAGAATTCCTTTAAAAAGTAAAACTCCTTTATAATATGTTTAGTTTACAAAAACTTGGTTCATAAATAGCTTTCTAAGATGAAAGCTGTCACATAAAGTGTGACATGTCTGTATGTAGAAGGACCTAGGTATGCTGGAGTCCAGCAGGGAGATAGAAGAATAAGAACAGAGTAGTACTTCACTTTCCACTGTCACTTAGGAACATCAAAACGTGGAATTATAGAGATAGAAGGACCTTGGCAGTCTTGCAACTTTATTCATCAGATAAGAAAATTGAAGTTAAGTGACTTTGCTATCTAGCTAAATCCAACAAGTATTTTGTTAAATGAATAATATGTTCCAAGTTAGTTGCAGAGCATCTATCTTCCCCTAACTCCCACTTGGGTACTCTTTCTACTATACCATACTTTCTTTTTGATGTGAGTAACTGATTGGGAAATTCTCCTACTGCTTTTTTGAACAGGAGAGCACTCAGGCAATACATAGAAAAAATTATTTTCCAATAGCCAGTGTTTCAGTGAATTAATGTTCTGAGGACACATGACACATTGGTATTAGAATGGAATAGGGTTAGTCCAGGTCATTTGTTCTCTTTAGTTGGTATTGAAAATATATTTTCTGCCTCATTTTGCAAAACTAGATACGGCTCCTTCCTCAGAATATTATACTTTGAATTGTGGTGTTTGGCTGAGCCCAGTCTTTCTGATTTAGGTTATCAATTCATCTGAAAAATTATTCAGAAGATTTTGTCTCGGTAACTATTTAGTGAAGATGTCAAAGGAGGGGAAGTTGATGATAGCCTTTGAAGACTGAAGTTGTTAATGTTGTGTTCTGTGTCAGATATGAAGAGGGGGAGGAAGGGAATAAGCATTTTTATAGCACCTGCTATGTGCCAGGTACTATGCTAAGCACTTAGCAACTATTATCTCATTTGATCCTTACAACAACAGATAATATAATTGTATTTTTTTCAGTGGGGGGTAAAGATGTGGTGACAGTAGAAGTGGTAGAAACTGAGGATAAAGGAAGCTTATAGTTAGAATAGAGGAAGATTTGCCATGAGGGAGGTGGAAAAAGGGGCAATTCTGTATCACCCTCCTCAGACATTACTTCACAGCTTTAATGGATCTGCTGTCTCATGTGTCTGAATACTCCAAACACTGATGGAATCCCCAGTCTATTCACATCCTCTTCATCCTAAAAGTTTCTTATCTTGTCTATGTTTTTTCTATAACTCCTTCCTAGAGATATGGCTGATTATTTTTCTTTTCTTTTGAGGCATAACAAAATGAATAAATAGTACACTGGTCAATGTGCATGTAGGAATTGCCCTAATACATTTTCCACAGTAGATCTGTGCAACCTATGGCCCAAGTAGAGGCACTGAAGAATATGTGAGACAGTTACTGTGGTCCTTTAACACTTTCCATCATTAGAGCCCCTTTTTTCTTTTTTTTTTAATCTCCTATTCTTCTCTTCCTTCTTTTTCTCTATTTCTCTTTCCTTTCCCCTCTTTCTTTTTCTCCCTTTTTTGTCCTCCTTTTTCTCCTACCTTCAATGACCCACTGGTGATCCTCAGGCCTAAAGACATTATTGAAATGTATTCCATATCCAATATCCACACAAAATGGAAGTGCTTAGGAAAATGACAAGAATCAGTGAGCTCTGTGAAGGAAAAGAGAAAAAGCATTATCTCCTCCAGTCTGACATCCCCCTTTCCCTCCCCAGTATGTATCCACTTCCTTTGGGGAAACTCCTTTGTCAGTTAAGATAGGTAGCTCTAAACCCCTTCTGGATTCTAATTATATCTGCAGAGTCCAGTGGTCATCTCAGTAGCTGTGCAAGCACCAGAATTTGCAGTCTTGAACTCGCCAGGTACACACTAACTACATGATGTGTCATTTGATGGAAGACTGCCTTTGTATTTGGTCTTCTGTGGTTGTACAGGCAGGAGTTTTCAGCAAGCTATAAATACCTAGCAAATTCCTACATAACCTTCCCCCCCCCCAGTGCCTCATTAGTTTAATGTGAGATGTCATTCTGTTAGCTTTAATGCTTTGTTGGCATTCTACCATGAATTATGAAAGGGGAGAAACAAAAGCAATAAATAGCTTAAGTGCATAGAACCTGCTGTATAACTCACTAATAAGGTGTCTTGGGCACTTGTAGACCAGTCTAAATGCTGTGTTTTCCTCTTGAGTTTGATCTGGACTTAGAAAGAGTCAACCAGTATCCCCAGCCACAAATTAGTGGGCTGCCTAGGATTTCTAAAACCTTCAAATGCCTTATTGAGTTTCTTTATTCCTTTATTCTGCTAGTTCCTTATACAATTTTATTTCATTTAATATCATTTCAATTATGAAAGAGATGTGTTCAGTAAAGCCATTTTTAAAAACTATTCTGACATACCCTGTCCTGCCTTGCCCTGACTCATACCCTCCCCAATAAAAAAAAAACCATACGTTCTCTGCAGAAATGAAAGAATACTCATTAATACCCAATGCTGACAATTGAGGGTCTCATGTCTGGCACTTTAAAAAAGTATCCTAATTAATGATGAAAGCAATGAATTAGGTAAAAGAAAACCTGGGTTCAATTATCCTCTCTGTGTCCCAGTTTTGTTCTCTATTAAATAGCATCTACAGTGTATCCCAGCTGCCTTACTGCTCCATTGTCTAGGTAAATGAGGGATATGACATGTTTTGAATGCATCCAAAGAAAGGCTCCACACAGTAAAAGCTCTAGTGAAAAAACACCATAGTCCTCAAAGAAAAATTGTATTTCCCCAAAAAGCCTCAAAAAGCCATATTCTGTGATTCACACACCATGGGAGAAAAGATGCAAGTGAGATAGATACAGTAACATGGACTTACTGGCTGTCTCAGAGTGCTTGCTGGAAATTCATACCAAGACCATCCCTTCATATAACTTGAGCAACTTAAGAATGAACAGGCCAACTGTGACTGAAAGGCTCATCTGTAAGATGAGGAAAGTTAACTAGAAGTCAGTCACTTAAAACATTAATTAAGCAACTAGTACCAGGCACTGTGCTAAATGCTGGGAATATAAAGAAAGGTGAAAGATGATCTTTACTGTCAAGGAGCTCACAGTCTAATGGGGGTGTCAACGTGCAACCAGCTATGCACAAAGAAGCTATAAATTAGACAAGGATAAATTAGACGTTTCAGTTATAAAACGACTTGACACCAGCATAGGATTTAGATCAAGTTAGAAAGGAACATTTTAAGTCCAGGCAGTTTAAGAACCAGAGGATCTAAACCCAAATCCAAGATCAACTAACTTACCTGTGTGACATTGGCCAGTCAGTCAACAAGAGTTCATTAAGCACTTAGTATGTGTTAGACATTGGTCTAAGTACTGATGATAAAAAGAAAGGCCTAAAAAAGTCCCTGCCCTAAAGAAGCTCACAGACAGAGACAATCTGCAAATAACTAGCTATATACAAACAGTCTGTATGTATATACCCCGTCCTGGCTAAGTAGTAGATAACCTCAGAGGGAAGGCACTAAGGTGGACTGGCAGAGGCTTCTTGTAGAAGGTGGGGTCTTATCTTAGACTTATAGGAAGCTAGGGAAAAGCTAGGAGGTGGAGATGAGAAGGGAGAGAGGGAAAGTCCCAAGGAAAGTGGGGATGATCAGTGGAAATTCTGGAGTCACAAAATGGGGGGAGAGTCTTGTCTGAGGAATAGCAATTAGGCCCTGGTCATTGGATGACAGAATATTTGGGGTTGAATAACATGTAAGAAGACTGGAAAGATAGGTACTGGAAGAGGTCATGATGGTCTCACACTCTAGGCAGCTAACAACTTTGTAGAAGGCTGTTCTTTTGGGTGGCAGAGGGCTTTCAGGAGTAGCCAAGATGAACCCTTAAAGTAAGGTATGAGCAGGGCCAGGATCCTTTGGTATGCCCAAGGCAACTGTTAAAGGGAAAGGCAGTTCTATTCCTATTATTTGTGATTGCCTCCCTTGTAGAAAAAGCTGACTGAGTAATAGGAATGAGCTATTCCCTATAATGCTCTGTTATATAATTCCATGGCCATCTACTTATCTGCCCAGTACTTATTCTAAGGACCACCATGCCACTCCAAGCTTTTTCCTCTTCCATGCCATAATGTATATTTCTCAATAATGATAACTATTTCATTGTGGTCTTTGTATCCCCAGCATCTAGCATAGGGCTCTCTGTGTGTCTGTATTTAACCAGTACTGTGATTTCATTGGTATAGGGGAGCTCTAGTTGAGCAAACTCCGTCTACCAATGCTGTTCAGCACCCACTCTGGAACTAATAATTCTGGAGAATTGATGGGGCACTGAGAGATCAAGTGACTTGCTCAGAGTCCCAAGGGGCAGGTAGATGGCTCAGTGGATAGAGTGCCAAATGTGGAGTCAGGAAGATGATCTTCCTGAGTTCAAATCCAGCCTCAGATACTTACCAGCTGTGTGACCCTGGGCAAGTCAATTAACCCTGTTTGCCTCAGTTTCCTCTTTTGTAAAATGAGCTGGAGAAGGAAATGGCAAACAACTCCAATATCTTTGCCAAGAAAATCCAAAATGGGGTCCTGAAGAATTGGATGTGACTAAAAAAAAAAAAGGCTAAAATCCAACAATCAGACTCATACAGCCATTATGTGTCACAGGCAGGACTTGAATTCTGGTCTTTCTGACTCCCAAGGTCAACTTTGTATCTTTACACCCAACTGCCCATCACCTGCCATATTAATAAATATTGGTTGAATTGAATTGAATCTCTAAACTTTCTTATACCACCCTCCCCTCTTCATAAAAATAATTCATTGTGAACTTGGTTGCTTTTCCCTTCCCTACTTCCTGTACATCACCAGTGTTTAATACAATGTCTACAAGTACAGAGTAGGTGCTTAAATGCTACTGGACTGACCGACTTGTCTGATGTAGCTGTCCTATGTTTTTATTCTCAATCTCTCCTTCTTGTTGGGATGGAAGAAAAATTTGATAATAATTGTGTTTTTTCCATTCTGACATGAAGACTTTTAAAGGAGATACATAGACCTACATATACAGACCTATCCTCTAAAATACATCCTTATGCAAGTAAGTGTAGCATCTGGTGAGTGCAAGAGAAAAAAGTTGAGCAAATAAAAAAGATTTAGTGGGACAAGTTCAGAGATGAGAGAGATGTGTTAGAAGATGAATAAGAGAGAGAGTGGTCAAGAAAGTAACATTGGCTGTTAGTCATAAAGTGAACCAGGGATCTAAACTGAAAAGGTGGGAAGCTTCTTCATCAATACTTAATCTTCTCTAAGCTTGGTGAAATCAGAGATGTAGGACTATTCCCAGCAAATGTATAGCTCAATCCTAAGTAGATATTGCTTAATTGTATAAACTGCTGAACTGCATAATAGAGTTGCTCTGCCCTCATTAAATTGCTGTGCCATCCTTTATGGTTAATTGAATGCAGATTAAGTGCTCCATTTGGTTATTTGCGTGCCAAATAGTAGTGTTAATGCTTTCCTAATCAATAAAGGAATAATTCAAGCAAGTTGACTTTTAAACATCTATGTGAGACACATGAGAAAAACAAAGCTTTGTTTAAGCAAGATGACAATTTTTTTTTTGGTTCAACTTTATAGCTGCTGAGAAGTGGATTCACCATAAAAATAAGTCCTTTCACAGTGAAGAAAATATAAATGTCAGGACTTTGGGATGGCACAGTTTTCTCAGCTATTTTAAAATCTTTAATTTTTAAAAGTATAGTAGTTTAAAATTACAAATGCACATACAGTACTGTACTTCAAAAAATATTGCCAGTCTTATTATTCCTACTAATCATAATAGCTAACATCAATAATAGTTTTAAAAAGTTTTACCCATGTTATCACATTTAGTCTTAACTGATTCTTGCAACAATCCCATGATGTGGATAGTGCAAATGTTATCACCATTTTGGTGATGAGAAAACTGAGATTCAGAAAGGAAGGAAGGAAGATAGGAAGGAAAGAAGGACTAATTAAGTACTATGTGCCAGGTACTGTGCTAAGCACTTTGCAAAAATTATCTCACTTATTCTTACAACAACCGTGGGAGATAGGTATTATTATCCCCATTTTATATTTGAGGAAACTGAGGCAGATAGAGGTTAAGTGACTTGCCCAGGGTCACATAGCTAGTAAGTTTCTGTGGTAAGATTTGAAATCAGGTCTTCCTGATTCCAGCCTCAGTGCTCTATTCAAGCACTCTATCTGTCTGCCACCTAGCTGTGAGGTTAAATGATTTACTTATAACCACACAACCAGTAAGTGCCACACTCAAGAGTCAGATGATGAGCTATCAATATGAACAAGTCCAGGTTAGCATTTGAACAGTCTTTTGGACAAGGTTATGGCTGTATTCAGTTTTGATTTTTCACATACACATATAAATTCTTTCGAAAATGCATATTTTATTTCACTTTGTATTTGGCTTAAAAATATTCAATCAAAAATGGGTCACTGACACTGAGGTTTTTAAAACTGTGCTTCATTCCCAAGGCACAGATATTTCTGCCCATTTTTATCTTGCTTCAGTCCTTTGGATTGCTTTGGCGATAAAGGTATTATCATTCCTTACTGAATCTGGCTAACTAGAAACTCACAGCAGTTTTCAGTGATTCTTACTCTGACTGGTACCTGAAATCTCTGTTGCAGTTTGCTAGTGCTCTATTATCAAATGCCATCATTCTTCACAGAGAATCTGAGTTTTAAGAGACCTCAGAGTCCATTTAGTTCAGCCCATACCTGAACAGGAATGCCCTTCACAATGTCCCCAACAAGCCTGAAGATCTCCAGTGAAGGCAAAATGCCTCAAGTAATCAATTCTACTGTTGAATTGAGACTAAGTCTCCATCTTTTTTACTCATTACTCCCAGTTCTTCACTCAAGGATGAAATAAAAGAAATTTATGATCTACATCCTGATATCTTTATTTCCTTCTTCTGCCCAGGTGGTTTGTAGTATACACCCATCAAAATATTGCTTTGGTTTTTCTTTCTATTGATAAATCACCCAATATTTTCCATTATTATTTCTTCTCCTAGTTCATGGATTTCCTGAAATTAGTTCATCTTCTGCCTATATATACAATGCTATACCACTATCCTTCTATTGATATCCTTTTAAATTAAAGAAAACCCTTACAGAGTAATTTTCCTGTCATGAATCTTATCCTACCAAATTTCATTAATACCAATAAATTGAAATTTGATCTGCCTTGTTTGTTACTCATACTTTGTGCATTAGTGTATCTAAAGCTGTGGATTTATTTCTTTTCTTTATTTTGGGCCATATTCTTGGATATTGACTCTGGTAAATTACTGGGGTTTTTATATTCTTTTTCCTATTTTGCATCTGACAATCTGCATGATTGGTTATATATATATATATATGTATATATATATATATATGTATATATATATACATATATATATATATATATATACATACATATATGTAGTTTTCTTCCTTGCTCACATTTTTGATTCTAAAGCTTTCTTAAACTAATTTATAGGACTCTAAGCAAATGTTTTTTCCAAATTTTCTACTGTAAATTTGAAAACCTCAACAAATATGAACATTTCCACATACAAAGAAGACAAGAAAAAGATGATCATGTATGAAACTGTGAATCTTTATTATGCATTGACTTTTTTATTATGTCAAGAGGATATCTATATATCTATATATATTTAATCAGAGACTGTAGAATCATAATGGATTGTAGATTTTTAGATGGAAGGGACCTTAGAGGCCATCTAGTCCAACTCATTTATTTTATTGTTGAGAAATGACTTGCCCATGTCAGGCAGATAGTAAATAGCATAGATAGGTTTTTTCTTCTGTACCACCTATCTACCTTCAGTCAATAGTGGTGAAAAAAAATCTCAACTGTGCTCAGGATTTCATAAATCCTTGCAATGCTTTCTAGGTTCCTTTTGGCAGCCTAATTTATCCTGGATCATCAAGAGTGGGTAATGTTTTTTAGTGTTAGTAAATTTCTGTCACTATCTGTGTCTATATCTACATCTATATATCTCCATTTATTTCTTTATATATCTCCCAGGAAGATAGCCGACCTCTCCATTGTTCATGACAGGTTAACAGATAACTTCTCTCCTGGGGGTGCTTGTGGATCCGTATTATTCTTCCTTGGACTTGTTTACTTTTCAGAGGGTTCAGCTTTATCAACATGGGAAGAATTACATGCCTATTAACATGCCTCCAAATATTTAAGAGTCCTTCATCTTCATTTCCTCTGGATTACAATATTTTTCCCCTTTACTCCCCTGACACAAGTTAAGATTCACCCCTGCTTCTTCAATTTTGTTTGACCTTGATGAGAGGCAATGTGGTGTAGTGGATAAAGAGCCAGTCGTAAGTCCAGGAGGACTTGGGTTCAAGTTTCACCTCTGACACATATTGGCTGTGTGACCCTGGACAAGTCACTTAACCTCTTAGTGCTCTAAACAACTTTCTGGAAACAAGTTAGAGAGGATATTGCCCTGCATTGGTAGAGGGAGTCTCCCTCCCTAACTCCCTCACCTTGGACAGCTCCCTATGCCGGTGAAATAACAGTCCAGTCCCTCTCCCTCTGTTTGTCACTGCAGTCAGGTATGCCCACTTCCCTGCTTTCTCCTGCAGGCTTTAGTCTGCCAGAGCCCTGGGACTGGTTCCTGCCCCAGCAGAATGTGCACAAGAAGCTTCCTTCCCGGGATAGAAGACTGCTTCAGATCTAAGGTCTCCTTGGTGCCAGTGCCCTCCCTTGCTCCGTTGTCTTGACTGCTTTTGTCCTGCTCTTTTGGATCCTGTGGTTCTTTTTGGTTTCTGGCTGCTTGCTCAGTCCTTTGAATGTCTGCTTTGGCCTTTGGTCCCTGGGTACTCCTGATTCTTACATCTGCCTGTCTGATTTCTGCCTTATTGTCTTGCCCTACCCCTCAAATTGTGTGTGCTTTCAGAGATGACTTAATGTAGAATCAATCAATCAACATGTATTTACTAAGCATCTACTACGTGCCAGGTGCTGAGGTTACAAACACAGTGAAACAGTTCCTACTTTCTAGGAGCTAGCAGTTCATCAAGCATTTATGAAGCCCCTATATGTTCAAGACCATAGCAAGATGGCATAGACCCTAGAGCAGGTATTCTTACCCCGGGTTCTGTGTGCGGATCATAATAGCAAAGGTTGTTGTGAGGATCAAATGAGATCATATTTGTGAAGCACTTTGCAAACCTTAAACCACTATTTAAATTGGAGCTATTTTTATCATTATTGTTAGATGTATTTTGATAGCCATATTCAGTGTTATTTGGTTTTCTTTGTAATCCTGTGTATTTTGTGTTATATATTTAAGTCCTGAGAAGAGATCCATAGGCTTCACCAGCTGCCAAGGGGATCCATGACCCAGGAAACACTAAGAACTCTTTTCCCTAGAGCAGTGCTTTAAACATCTGGCCATCGGAGGCCCACACTCTGGCCTGTGGTGGACAACAAATTAAATGTAATTGGAAAATACTTAGAAAAAGAAATTAAATATAATGGAGCAGGTAGCCTTAATAGGTGCTTTCTAAGTTAATACGGTTGCCTGCAGAGAACCTTTGTATAGCTTAAACTCTCACGTTTTCTGTTTGAGTTTGACACTACTGCTCTAGAGAATGCAGAGATGGCCTTAGAATTAGCAAGATCCAGTTTTTCCAAGTCAGTGTTGTCCAAATCTAGCCTGAATCCCCCAAATCCAGCACATCCTCAGTCTTCTCAGTTAGGCTTCTCATTCTGTCCCTGGTATTCATGGTTGCTATCCAGAGATTTAGAGCTAGCTACTCTCATTACACAGCCTCCTTCATTTGAACATCAATAAATCCCCATTTATCAACCTCTCCTTCATAGATTTGACATGTTTTGGAATATCTGTCAGATTTTATTAAAGATTTTATATTACATTCAAATACAATTATACTTGACAGGGTAAATCCAGGTGTAGTTTTTGCTCTGTCAAGCACAGCTGCTTTGGAACTGGTAAAATATCTCCCTTTGTACAGCATCCCCCGGCTTACTAATTTGTAATTGTTTGTAAATATAATATTCATCAAACATTTACTCTTTGTAAGTACATTAAAGAACAGGTAAGCAATGCTGTGTAACTCTTCAGTGTTTTATCATAATTGGCTTCCATGTTAATAAGGTTTGGATAAATGCTGTCTATGATGTCGTTTTAAGCTTATCAGATTTTTATTTTTGATTTTTTTTATCAGAATAATAATTTTTCCTAGTATATTATACTTAGATGCAGCCTGGATTCAGCCTCCCAATATCTGGAGTTTCCTGATTCCCAGGCCTCAGCCCATCCCTCTGAGCTGGGGTTTCTGCTGATTTGTCGAGGATACACTTTCCCATCACAGAAGCTCAGAGTTGAAAGGGGCCTCAAAGACTCTCTAGTCTTAGCCAGAGCTAAGTCATTGCTGACACAGTTTCTTCCTCTTGGAAATCTCTAATGAAAAGAAACCACAGCTTTCTAAGATAGCCTATTCTGCTTTTGAACAGTTTTAATTATTAGGAAGTTTTTCCTTATGTCAAGCTTAGACATCTGCCTCTCATTGTCCCTTGTTCTTTTTGAGCCAGCCTAAAAAAATGAAACACCTCTGAAATGTGAAAGCTCCCTCTCCCTCACCCCATACTTGAATGATCCTTGATAAAATATCTAAATATTCCTTATTCCCTGCTCTCTCCAGTTTTACAGTACTGAAAAGCTTGAAGATTGAAAAGGGATTTACCAGCGTTGAGGCTGATTATTTGCCTGAAATTCATTTTTTTTTGTTTCAAGAAGAGAAATTTTCATGTCCCATTCAAAGATAAATGCATCACAAATGCGGAAGTAACACATTCATACAGTGGTTCTTGAATTATGTTTCTTTTTTATACATATTTTTTGATAATTTTATTTAAATGCAACTAATTTCCTTTACAAGCCTTATGTATTTTATTTTGTATGATTAAAAACATTCTAAGATGAGGTCCCACAGGGCTCATCAGCCCATCTAAAGCGTCAATGACACAAAAGAGGTTAAGAACCCCAGCGTTGGTAGAAGTCAGTTCCAACCAAGGTGTAAAAAAAAAGAATATCAACTCATGAATTGTTTTGAAAGGGGGAAGGATGTTATTACATAGTTCTAGCATTGGGTCGCTCAGGATGGGGGAGGTCAGGGCAGTGAGTGAGAAAAGGGGGCAGAGAGGAAAGGGAGGATGGAAAGGAACTTAGTGGACTTCATAGTTTCAACCAGGGTCAGTCCTTTTTATCTTCATCAGTGCTAGGGCAAAAAAGAAACAAAATCTATGAAAGAAATCCCTGCTCTGTAGAGCATACACTGACACACCTTTTTATAGGGAACTTTCCCCAGGGCTACATTACGCATTGGCAAAAAGTATACATTTTCCCTACTTAGAATTTATACATTACATGCATGTTATATATGTATATATAAAACATACATGTACACACACGCACACATGCAAAGATAAAGAACTCTTAGAAAATTGGCCTGAATTTCTGTCAAATTAAACATAGAAGCAACAGAACCTGAAAGCTTCCCTGACCTCTGGAAGAGGCTATATTTCTTCCCCTTTTTTTTTTGTCCTACTTTTCTGGAACATTCTGCTTTCAACTACTCCAGAAAAAAAAATCCAAGAAGCCAACCCTTTAGTATGCAAGTGAAACTATTTAATTAAAAGTACATATTGTACGTGGTTTGGAGAAGCAATTTTTCCTACAGGGCTAAGATCTGTGTGGGGTTTAATTATCAACTGTATTTCAAAAAGGTAAGTTTGATTTCTAAGGATTAAGTGAGGGTATAAATTAGGGTTCATGGAGAACCTGGGCTGACCTATAGAAAGTTGACAATCCAGAGTGGCTGGATATTGCCACCTGAGATGGTCAATGTAATTGAAATCCCAAGGCCCATTTTTGTCTTATTCTATACCAGCTCAGAACATGAGTGTTAGGCTAGTTGCAGAAAATGAGCTTTGCAAAGTTTATAGATTAAGAGGTAGAAAGAATCTTAAAGGTACAATACCTTCATTTTGGAGATAAGGAAATTGAGACCCAGAGAAGGTAAGTGACTTGCCCAAGGTCACACAGCTGATAAATATTTGAAATGAAAATCCAGCCCATACTGACTCTAAATCCAGGTCTGTATCCACTATTCCATGCTTCCAAATCAACAAAGTTTACTGAACGTATATAGTCTGTGTGATTTTGAATAAGACTTTTAACCTCTTAAGACTCAGTTTCTTCATCTAGAAAGTTAAATGATTGGGCTAAGAGAGTTCTACATCCAGTTCTAGTTCTAAAACTGTCACTTTATTATGCAACCATATGCCTAGAAGTATTTTAGGCTCTGAAAGGGATATAAGAATTCAGATTTATGTAGCATTTTAAGGTTTGCAAAGTGTGTTTCTCACAATGACCATTTAAGGTGAGTGGTACAAGTATTAGGATGTCCATTTTACAGATGAGAAAACTGAGGTATAGAAAGGTGAAGTGACTTGCCATCATCACACAGCTAGTTACTACCAGAGCTTGGATTCAAATTTAGGTCTCCAAACTACAAATGAGATAATATTTGTAAAATGCTGAGCACAGTGCCTGGCATATAGTAGGTGGTGTTCCCATCCCTTCCCCTCTGCAAGTCTATCATTCTTTTGAGTATACCAATTCTCCATTATAATATGGAATGATTCCTACTCTCCAGGTGGTGAGACAGACCAACATGAAAGAAATAGATACCAGTACAGGATAGTATATTGCAAAGTATTTAATTGGACAAAATAGTCAGGAATATTGAAAAACTAAACAGATTTGCCTACCCTTAATGTATGTGGTAAGGAATACGAGAGAAGTCATGAGAAACTGAGAAGGTAAGAGAGACGGTGCCAGACAGGGAGAGGCCAGATAAGTGAACACAATTTCCAGTTGGTCTTCCAAGTGGGAAGAAGAGAAAGGAATTTTTGGTAGTTAGGACGATCTAGGGTTTTGATTCTGACCCACTTTTTCCTTAGTGGAGAAGAGGAAGGATGAATGTTCTTTCTTTCTACTTCTTTCCCCTGCCTAGAGAGCTTCCAAGTGTGTGGCCAGCTAAAGAGCTTAAACATTATGTTTTCTCCTTCCTTTAAAGCAAAATGTAGATATTTCTTTTGGTGTTGGGGATGCCACAGGGCGTATTGGAAATACCTAGTTATCCTGTGTCTTGAGATACTCCATATTTCAAGCATTAAAATTCAGGGTAAGGATAATTGGGTATTATGGGAAGTCAGGAAGGACAAATGTCACTGCTAGCTACAGTTATCAAGGAAGGCATCTTGGAGGATGTGAAGCTCCAGCTAAGCCTTGAAGGATGAGTACAATTTATATGGGTCAGAGAGAATTGTCAGGATGAACAACATGAGCAAAGGTGCTTGGGCAATAATGACTGTGATATAAATTGAGACTAACCTGGCTTAAACAGAGTAGATATGTTCATGAGTAGTGACAGAAAAATTCATATGGGTGTGTTTGAAACAGGGTTCAGAAAAGTTGGGCAAACAGTTCAGACTTGATCCAGTGAAAGGCCATTGTAGGTTCTTTAGTAAGAAATTAGACATGTGGGACTCTTTAATAAACCTCCTGTATCCCATGTCCATTTCTACTTTTGACCATCCAATTCTACTTGACCTTGAATACCTTGGACTTTCTAGTTGTAAGACTCTT